GGAATTTAGGATCAATCATTCATTTTCATAGTTAATGGTTGATGCACACACAACTTTGGTGACATAGTTGGTAGTTGATGGTTGACTATCCTATGGGTGAACCTAACCCATTCGTAATTCCCTCTGTAAAGAAATATAAGAGCGTTTAGATCACAGTGATCTAAACGCTCTTATATTTCTTTACAGAGGGAGTACATATTATTTTTTGATAATAGATCAATGTTTGCGCTTGTGCTTCATTTTCATTAAATCAATCTTTGCTCATGGTATTATTCATATTCATCTGATTATTGGAGTTGGGAATTAGATTAGGGACAGTGGAAGAACTGCGGGCGGGATCATGTGCAGATGGCTTGGGGATATATGTTTGCCTTATATTTTTAGTTACTCTTATTTGCTTATGCATGTCCTTCTACGGATCAGTTTTGGATGTTTGACTTCTGGAAGTTCCCGGCTGCACATCCCAACCTCAACTGAAGTCTCACCATTGAGGATGTTCAGGTGCTTGTTGTTCTTCAATTACTGTTGCTCTTTAGATTCATGTCTTAGATATTCTTAGGACATAAATCTTATGGAGTTTAATGATCATTCATTTCAACAAATATATGTGATATTTCCGTGTAAAAGGCTACCTTCCAAAATTATGGTGATTTGATGTTTCTTTCAACATTATTTTGTTTATAATCTGAATCTGAAGCTAACTATACATCCTTAAATTGTTGCCAGTTAAGAAGTAGAAATTTAGTTAGTCCATGTTGGAACCCTAGCCTTGCCCTAGCTCACCTCTCTCTGTGTGTGTGTGCACCTCACTCTCCCGCTCTGGCAATAACCTAGAAGAAGGAGGAAGAAGAAGAACACGATGGACACGGCGAGAGTTTCTGGCGCACGAACGCCACCGCACGAACGGTATTTTACCCAAGCAACAAACTCGCCCACACATGTTACAACAATCACCGTGTCGATCTTATACCCGGGCCAACACTAGGCCATGACCCGCACATTAATTTACCCACTACTCCACCTGGTCTGGCCTGCTCCGCGTGCCCACGACGCGCTCCCGCTCGCGCTCGCCATGCTGAGCCCGCAATAGACCTGCACGATCACCTCGCCCAGATCGCCAACAGCATGGCCTACACACACACACGTACGGTGTCCACCCACACGGGCACCCCCGTGCACCACACGCACATGCACACACACAAACACCTACGTCGCAGACCCGACGCGCCCAACACGCACCCACACACACGCCCAACGCGTCTAACCCGTGGCCGCGGCTTATTTGGCCAACACTCACCCCCTAAGCTGCAACTCGAAGGATTCCAGGCTCGAGGTCGTCGCCGATCTCCACCAGGAGCGCGTGCTCCGCCGCCGGCGCCTTTCGCAGCTTGGGGCACTCGCACTTGAAATGGTCGCGCTCGCTGTAGCTGTAGCAACGTCCGCACCGCTAGCCTCCGCCGCCCAATGTGTCGTACTGCCCGCGCCATCATCGTTGTGGTCGAGGCCGCCTCCGCCATGCCGACACTGCCGAGCTGCCCACTGCGCCACAGTCAGCATGAGCTCCTCATCGTCGCGCCTACCCCCGTCCTGCCTGCGACGCCGGGTCCGTTCGTCGAATGCTTTGAGCCGCCCCAAAGCCTCCTCGTACGCCATCTCTTCTACATTGCAAAATTGTTCAATTCTAGCGAAGGCGGGGTAGAGGCGGTCCGGGAACGTGTCCAACATCTTCTTCACGAGCGCAGCGTAGTCGAGCACGGGCCCCAGACATGCATAGCGTGTCGTCATGGTGCCAAGCTTCCCGCGTAGGCTGTCCAAGTCATCGTCATCCGCCATCCGCAGCCGCTCGAACTCGCCGTGGAGCGACGCGAGCCGGGCCGCCCGCACCCGATCAGCGATGACGAAGTGCACCTTGAGGGAGTCCCATACCTCCTTCGCGGTGGGCTTCGTCGACACCGGCAGCAGCACTTCCGCCAACAGCACCCCGAGAAGCATTGCCCGCGCCGTCTTGCTCTTGTCGGCGTCGATCGTCGTGCCCTCCGTCGGAACGACCACCCCCACAGCTCCTAGGCACCAAGAAAAGCTTCCGCCTTGATCGCCTAGGAGGTGTAGTTCGTCGTGGTCAGTAGTGGGACCGGCAGTGAGAACGAGCCACCACCGCCATCGTGCGGTACGAGTGCCATGGCCGCCGGCGTTCACCTTCGAAACCGGGCTCTGATGCCAATTGTTGGAACCCTAGCCTTGCCCTAGCTCACCACTCTCTTTATCTGTGCACCTCACTCTCCCGCTCTAGCATGAACCGAGAAGAAGGGGGGGGGAAGAAGAACACGGTGGACACGGCGAGAGTTTCAGGAGCACGAACGCAACCGCAAGAACGGTATTTTTCCCAAGCAACAAACTCGTCCCACACATGTTACAACGATCACCGTGGCGATCTTATACCCGGGCCAGCGCTCGGCCACGACCCCGCTAGGTCCGGCCCGCTCCGCGCGCCCACGACGCACTCCCGCTCGCGCTCGCCATATTAAGCCCGCAACAGACCTGCGCGGTCACCCCGCCCAGGTCGCCAACATCATGGCCTAGGCACACACATGGGCACCCCGGGCACCACACGCACGCACACACGTGGACCTACACCGCGGACCCGACAGGCCGAGCGCGCACCCACACATGCGCCCGACGCGTCCGACCCATGATTGCGGCTTATTTGGCCAACAGTCCATCTACCGAGTATGGAACTCGGCAAACGCATGGCTGAGTTTATTTGGCTTTACCGAGTTCCCAAGAAACTCTACTCGGCAATTTTAATAGTGAAAACTATCACATGATCCGCCCTAATTGTACGGGCAAATAATATGTATGCATGGTCTATAATGAAATTTACAACAGAGATTCACTCGCTCATGATTCTACCTAACACGGTCTACTATGCGGGGAGGCGTTTTGGCTAAAAAAAATCTGAAATTTTTCATAGATGTTTGTGTTAGTGTCGCAAGCATGCTTGACAATTTTCATGCAAAACGGAGCAGCAGCGTTTCGTCATGTGTTGATTTTAATTAATGGATAATAACAATGCACATGCTTTCATGATGCAATCCATTTTAAGAACTAAAAAAAGGCATTCAAGTGTTATTATCATTTGTAATGCATTGCAGAATAAAGAGTTCAATGTTTGTGTACCACCTTCTTTATTTTGTGCATCAGGTGTATAGGGTCGAATTACATTTTTTTTTATCAAAGTACATTGCAAGCGAATTAGATTCCAATTACTTTTTTATTTGTTATTGCCGATCTTTCTATGTATGTAAAATTTTATACATGCAACAAATACAAATTTTCAAATGCCCGTGGCAACGCACGGGCAGTCTACTAGTGTTTATATTTCTTGAGGCGAAGTTGAGGTTTTTCTTGTACATTAAGAAAAAAAGATTAAAGGGCATGCCCACTTAAATTATATAGAATTAACAATGTGTTTTTCACAAATAAAATAATGTTTTTGATGGCTTAGAAAAACAAATGAATTATAAAAAGAGGTAGGAGTGCGCTAGATTTTCCACAATAGAAAGTACAAATAATTCCTTAGAAAATAGTCCTGTAGAATTTAATTCCATGAATCAAACAATCAACTTAAGAAATATTCTTAAGGATTCTGATCCTCCAAAAAGAATCAAGGAGCCCTAAACATATCCGAGCCTTGCATCCTCGTTCTGAAAGAACTGACGGGTAACCGCAGGTTAGCCATGCACGTTTAGTTTGTAAATTAGGATATTACTCCATCCGTTCTCAAATATAAATCTTTTTAGAGATTCCAACAAATGTCTACATAGAGAGCAAAATAAGTGAATCTATACTCTAAAATATGTCTACATATATCTATATATTGTAGTCCATTTGAAATGTCTAAAAAGACTTATACTTTCTCTTTCCCGGTTTATAGGGCTTATCTTAAAAATTTCGGTTTCCCATTTTATAAATCTCAATATGATTGTTCCTCATCCCATGCTCAGATTTTAAGATGCATTAATTCATTGCATGCAAGGATTATGAGAAACTTGACAAATGCATTTACTTCATGTATGCATGCCTTGCAATTAATGTATTGGTAAACACAATTCTTTGGGGAAAAGAGCGCATTAATTGAGTGTTTTTACAAATCACGAAAATTATTTCACCACTCATCATCTATCTTGATTGGTGAGATTTTTAAATTGAATCTTATAAATCGGAAAGAAGGTACTAGTAGTAGGTAGGAGTATTTAGGAACGGAGGGTAATCATGGGACGGGGGGCATGTCAGTCATTTCGGTATCCATTTGCACGCGCTGTTGACTTGACGTGACTCCCTCCGGTCGTCGGCTCGTCACCCTCAAATCACTACTCCTACTGCACTGCTAGTCTGCTACTGCTTGCCCGCGCGCCATCGCGTAGTCCACCACCGGCCGCGGATACGCCGCAGCCAATCCACCTCCGTTCGCAGATCCAGCACAGCCACCTCCGGGGACCTGCCCACCCCGCCTCGCCTCCCGGCATTACAAGCAGCCACCTCCCGAGCTCAGCATCGCCCACTGGACTTCGCCGCCGCGCCATCGGCTGCTCCGACCGACACCACTGCACCGTCTCGCTTACCTGCAGCACGCGAGTGTAGGAGTTCGTCAGCCCCAGATCTCACCACTGCTACTTCTTGCCCTCCTCCGCCTTGACTCGCGACGACCGCCTCCTCCCTTGCCGGCCCATATCCGGCACGGCCATCCACCTCCCGCCGCAGATCCGGCACGGCCATCCACCTCCCGCCGTAGATCCGGCACGGCCATCCACATCCCGGCACCCGACCTAGCCGACTGATCTCAAGGCATCACGAGCAGCTCCCGTCTCCACCTCTGGAGCTCCGCCTCGGCTGTTCGACTTCGCCGCCACGCTGCCGGCTCTCCTCAAATCTCCGTCAAGCTGACCTGCAGCAGGGGACCGTAGCTGTCGAGCCAACAGCGGAAGGAGGATTTGGTCGGGATGCCGGTGAGCGCGACGATGGGGGTAATGAAGCCCCTCCTCGGCAAGCTCGCCACCCTGGCGGGCGACGAGTACAGTAAGCTCAAAGGGGTGAGGAAGCAGGCGTCCTTCCTCGAGAAGGAACTGAGCGCCATGAACGCTGCCCTTGAGAAGATGGAGCTTATGGATGAGCTCGACCCGGTGGCCAAAGACTGGAGAGACCGCGTCAGAGAGATGTCCTACGACATGGATAACTGCATTGATGACTTCATCCGCCAATTTGGAGGTGCTCCTGCCAAGGCAGGCTTCATCAAAGAGACCGTTCGACATCTCAAGACGTTGGGACAGCGTCATCGGATTGCTGACCGGATGGAGGAACTCAAGGTTCTTGCACTAGAGGCAAATGAACGGCGCATCAGGTGCACATTCTCCCCCTTTTCTCAAGAAAAATATGCAGATACTGTACATTGTATATTTTGTAGAGTATATAACACACCTAGAATTACAAAGGCATATCTGTGCTATATGTTGTATCTGATCTGTGGTTGTTCATTATCGAAAGAAAAATTGTTTCTTTTCGGTTTTAGCCTTGGTGGCATTTGTTACTCATGTGTGAGATGTTGGATCTTAAAACTTTGCAATAATAGAAGGCACAGAGGACGGGAGTTTCACAATCTTTTAGAAAAAAGGAAAAAAAAAGAAGAATTTTGCTTGCCTACTACTGTCTCTAAAGGACTTAAGTGTGACTTTCTTCCTGGACATCCTCTTTCAGGTACAAGATCGATGAGTGCAATTCTAGTTCTAGTTTTGTGGCTATCGATCCTCGCATGTCGGCGATATATGTGGATGCAGCTGGTCTTGTAGGTACTGATGGCCCAAGGAAAGAGCTTGTCAATTTGTTAACTGATACCGAGAAGAAGCTCAAGGTGGTGTCCATTGTTGGATTCGGTGGTCTGGGTAAAACTACACTTGCAAAACAGGTGTATGATGAAATCAAAGGGCGGTTCAACTGTATGGCGTTTCTTCCCATATCTCAAAAACCTAATATGACATGGATTCTCAACCGTCTACAATTAAAACTTGGGATGCATGGTTCTTCTAGTGCTTGTGAGTTGCAAGACCTCATTGAGGACCTCAGAAAACATCTCACAAATAACAGGTATTAATTTACTTCAATAACCACCCATGCACTTGCATTGGCATGTTATGTTGAATTTGAACAATTGTGTGATTTAATCAATGCTCATTTAAAAAAAAATCAGTGCTCATTTATAAGCTTGTAGGATGCATGATCTAGGATAATCACAAAAAACTGTTCTGATTAGGTAGAAGCATTGTATGTATTTAAATTTCAAAGTTCTGATTTTTGGTAGTCAGTCGGCTCGGGACTCTGGAAACAGCCTCTTACAGAAATGTAGGGAAAGGCTGCGTGCAATAGACCCAAAGTGGTCGGACCCTTCGCCGGACCCTGCGCAAGCGGGAGCTACATGCACCGGGCTGCCCTTTTTTTTAGTCGGCTGGGGACTAGTGATTAGAGAGTTAGTCGAACCGCACAAGCCCACAATCCCTGTACTCATTATTTTTTAAAGAGAACCTATACTCATATATTTTATAGTAGAAATCGAAAAAAGTAATATGAGAGAAGGACTACTACTTGTTCAACCCACAACTTCCCCACCTTCCAGAAAGCCTTGCAACCTTGCCCATTTCATCGCTTCTTTGAACATGGATTGTATTGCAAAGTAGAGGCATATTTATTGGTTTTTTATGTATGGCCAAGAGACGATACATTCTATAAGACATTGTATGAAGGTATTATACTGTCTATGTACTCCTGCAGAATTGAACATACATTCTAAAATCAGTATAGAACTAATCATCAAACACAATATCACAACTTTCCCATCTAACTAACATAGCATTTAATAGAAAGTTGCTTCTATACCCATACTGTAATTGTTATGCGTAATGATGAGTGATGACGACCATTACCCTGCTTGGCCGGGCTGGCCTTCACTGATCTGCCTACATAACGAACCTCACTTCTTAGGCCTTTGGTGTGGGTTGCCGGGGTGGTATTGGTTGCATGATTGTGTTTTGGGGTGTGGGGCAGTGGTCGTGAAGCGGTCCTTGAAGGCATGTGCTCCTCCTCTTCACCATTCTTGGTTGGAGCTGTGGAAGGCGAGTCCCCTGTCGCTGTGATTGGTGTTTGGCGGAGTCTGCCGACTTGCTTTGGTTCTGGACTGGCCAAAGATCTGCCTACACGGGTCCTTTCCCCTGTCTTGCTCTTTCATTGGTTTGGTCGTGAGCTCTCTCCAGCATTAGTGTGGCTGCTGGCGAGCACTAGTGGGTAGTGGCCATAGTGGCACATCCGGCCTCGGGTCCTTTGTTCCCATGCTGTGCTAGGTCTAGGTTAGCTAGGATTCGTCGTTGGTCATTCAATGAGGTTGGTCGTTGTCCTTTTAATTTTGTTGTTATAAATTGGCCATTCGCTAATCTTTGAGCTTTCTTGATGAAAATGTGGTTTAAGTCAATTAGTGAAGTGACTTAAGAAATGTCTCTACATGATTTTTTGTGGCAGTTTACAAAATGTTACAAAAAGGGACTAAACATTGCTCATTCCATTTTCTTTACCCCGAATGTATCCAATAGTATGACCACACTTTCAACATTTTCCAAAGGAAAGAAAATGTCTTTACAGCACGATGTGGCAGTCTGTAGACACATATTAAGAAGTTTTTAGATGCCTCCGTGTGAGGTATTTGTTCTATTGTTTGGGCCCATGACAAATCTTGCATTTTTTTGGCTATAACACCAAATTTGTAGTATTAACATCAGACTTTTGTCAATGCATCTTAGTTCCACAACACATTGAGACTTTGTCAATGTGGATTTTTGGTGTGTGTATGTGTAATTACTTAGAAGGTGTGCTGATGCCAAAAAAAATGACTTGCACAATACTATGAGCAGACATATTGTACAAAACCGACAAGAGGTTGTAGCTGCACTGCTCAAAAATTAAATTGCATATTTCTTTTCTGTATGGCGCATATGTGCATATTGTTGGTTGTTCCATAACATTTTTCTGATGCACAAGCTCTTACTGTGCGGATGCGGAAAACGTCTTACCTCGTTGTGAGGGGATGACCTACATGTTTATAGGCAGGGGCGCACATCCCTGATAGGGCATACATTGTTGAGATTCTGTAGGAGAGATTACATCTTGGAGGAGAAGGGATAAGAGTATGGTTACAAGAGATAGGAGCTAACACTCCTAGCTAACAACCTGGCCGCGCTAATTACCTCGGCCAATCTCCTCTGTCACGTTATCAAGTGTTTAACACTTACATGATGCCAATCAACATGAATGCGGTTATAATGTTGCTCTATATAAACTGCAAGTTTTTTTTCTCGAATATGCATTAGAACTGTGTATCATTGCATTAAGGAGAAAAAAAGGTTACAAGGAAATCCCGACACATGCCACTCTACCCAAAACTAGAAAAGAAAAAACCCGCGCCTGTTACAAAAAACAACGACCAAAGTAACCAAAAAAAATGAATGACCATTAGGTGGTAGAAGCCAAAAGTTGCGCCATGTCCCTAGTTCTGGCCAAGCAGTAGAGGTGTCCTTCCTCCGAAATCCTACTAACCATTAGGTTGACACTCGATGTGGCTCCATTAAGCACACAATCATTCCGATGCTTCCACAACATCCAGGCCCCCAAAGTGATCAGCGAGTTGAGCCCCTGTTTGAAGATACCAGAAGGCAAAGAATTGATTCTCAATCACTAATCACACAACACATTATCGTCGGTGTGTGGCGAGAAGTCCGGTAGACCAGAGCGACGAGCACACACCAAACTTGTCTAGAGAAGACAAAGTTCGTCAAAATGTGTTGGATCGTTTCTAGCTCTTGATCACACATGGGGCTTTGACTCGGGTGGGGCAATCCCTTTGTGCCAATCTGTCGCTGTCCAGCATCTATTGTCCGCTGCCAGCCAGAGGAAAAACTTACACTTCTTTGGAGCCCAAGACTTCCAAATAAGCTTATTGCATACTTGCATTGCATCTTTCTTTTTTTGGCATGCATATTTGCATCTTACGTACCCAGCTGTGTTTTGTACAGTGAAACAGGGGACAGTTTTGTAGCTTGGCCGTTGAAGTCAATAATCATGTATTGTGAACTACTCCCTCTGTTCCTAAATATAGGTCTTTTTAGAGATTTCAATATGGACTACATATGGATGTATATAGACATAGTTTAGAGTGTAGATTCACTCATTTTGCTCCGTATGTAGTCCATATTGGAATCTCTAGAAAGACTTATATTTAGGAATGGAGGAAGTAAGTACTAATTTAGCCTTAGGAATAAGGATTCAGTTATTATCAAAACGAAAGACATAGAAATACAACAGCATATATCTATTGTAATATGCTTAGATGCTTGTCCGTGCAATCGACTGGTACAGGTCTACAGGAAGACCATCCATTATGATCCATGCATGCTTTCTTTCTTGCTTGCTTAATTCCCTGATTTTCTCTTGTGAACGGCTGATGCAATTTTCTTTAATTGCAAGGATCGTACATTTTACAATTAATGTGAAGTTAATTAGTCCTTTTGCTTAGAAGATAGAAATACAATAGCATATATTTTGTGCCTGAGAATTTAGTGAGCGAAATTAACTTGGATGTTATTGTCTTATTGAGATTATCTGATGGTGCCATTTAGTTTTGAGAAATATGTGAGCCTGCTAATCTAACCCTCGATAGCAGATTCGCTTGAATCCAATTGGTTTTAATTTCATTCAAGTTCAATAGAATGTTTTGGTACTTTCCCCTGCAACTTATATTCATATCCAATCATAGTGTAATGTCTGCATACAATTGACAGGTACCTTATTGTAGTTGATGACCTGTGGGATCAATCAGTATGGAATGCTATTAGCCGTGCCTTTCCAGAAAATGATAAAGGGAGTAGAGTAATAGTAACCACTCGAGTGGAAGATGTGGCTTCTGGGGCATGCTGCAGTCACCCAGGGTCCATTTACAGAATGAACTTCCTCGACGAACAAGACTCAAAAAGGTTATTTTATAATAGAATATATGGATCTGAAGATGACTGTCCATCCCGATTTGAAGATATTTCAGCTGAAATTCTGAAGAAGTGTGGTGGACTCCCACTTGCAATCATTACTATATCTAGCCTATTAGCCAGTCGTCCTGAAATGGACGAGTGGGAGGCCATAAGGAATTCTCTGGGCACCCAGTTTGCAATAAATCCCACAACGGAAGGGATAAAGAGTATATTAAACCTTAGTTATATGCATCTTCCTCTTCATCTCCGGGCATGTTTTCTGCACGTTGGTATGTATCCAGAAGACCGTGAGATAGAGAGGGATGATTTGGTTCGTCAATGGGTTGCAGAAGGCTTCATCAATAATTTGTATGGGCAAGATATGGAGGTTGCTGCGAAGAGCTATTTCAATGAACTTATCAACAGAAGCTTGATTCAGCCTGAACGTACTGATCATGGAGAGTTGTTATCATGCAGAGTACATGTCTACATGATATGATGCTTGATTTAATCTTAAGCAAGTGTGCAGAGCACAACTTTATCAGAGTTGAATGCAGTTCTGAAGACATGGCAAGAGAGCATGCCTGGAAGTACAAGACCCGCCGTATATCCCTGAATTTAACCGGTGGCAGCGCAGCAGATGGGACAGCATCAGAGACCATTGCCTCTAGCCTATCACAAGTTCGATCACTTGCACGGTTTGGGGAATCCAAGTACATACCTCCTCTTTTGCATTGTAAGTATATCAGAGTCATTCACTTTGAAGTTTTGGGGGAACTATGCCACAAGGAAATCGATCTGAGAGCTATTAGCCAATTGCTCCAATTGAGGTATTTAAAGGTTTCAGCTGACCAATACGTGAAACTCCCTACTGAAATGCAAGGGCTTGTGCATTTGGAGACACTAGAATTACATATCAAATGGATACAACTCCCATAGATATAGTTCACTTGCGTCGCTTGACCCACTTGGTAGTTCCAAAGAAGACAGATCTGCCTAAAGGGATCAGGAACATGAAATCACTGCGCACTCTAGATGGGTTTGAACTGGGATGGAGCTCCTTGGAGGATATCAAGGGACTCGGTGAGCTGACCAATCTGAGGTGCCTAAGGCTCTCAAAGTGTGCCATGGGTGATTTGAACACAGCAGGGGTTGATGCCTTGGTGTCCTCCATTGGAATGCTCCATGACCTCAGATATCTCTGCATCCATGGTCAGGTCATAGATACAAAAAAACGGCTGGCCTCATTATCAGATCCTCCTCGCCATATCAAGGTATTTAAACTGGATGATTGGAAGATGTCCAGAGCTCCCAAATGGATTTGCAGTCTCCAATGTCTCTACCGCCTGGAGCTGGATGTTGAAGAGATGACCATCGATGAGTTTCTTGCTCTTGGTAAGATGGCCTCTCTCGTTCACCTCTCTTTGTCTGTGTCGAGCTTCGCTCCAAGAGAAGGGAGAAAAAGGAATGTTGCGAGCATCTCCATGGGATTATTCCCAGTTCTGGAGGACTTTGCATGCTTCGCTGGTAGTGATCTGACCGCATGCCTTGCCTTTGAGGCAGGGGCTATGCCCAAACTCCGAAGGCTCAGGCTACATTTCAACGAGAGGTACTGGGGTGGTGCCGCGACAGTTGGCTTGGAGCACCTGTTAAGTCTCGAGCATGTCGCCGTACATATGGGAAGTGACTCTGATCGGTTTCCTCAACGAGTGCTCCGTGATGCGAACTCTGCGTTCAAAAACTGTATAGAGCTGCACCCAGGCCATCCGACCTTTACCGTCGATGGGTCCGGCTTTACTCCCTATTGTGCGTGAGAAAGGCATTGTATACTCAGGGATAATAGTGTTTACATACTCACTGTAGCTGAGAACGACCAGCAGAGAGCTGTTGCAGAGTCAGATTGCACAACAAGTGGAATGTTCCACTGGAAGTGATGACTAGCAGCCTGAATCCCAAATATGAAAACTGACAGTGACGAGCACCGCAGATAGCAATTTGTCTCTTTCGATCAGCCACTCTAATTTGCATCATCCCTTCGCTATTTTTCTTTTTAAAGATGAAAAGGGCTCCATTTTTATTGAAAATGAAACCAATGTCTGGATACATGAAAAGCTCGCTGACATAGGCTGGAAGTGCCTACATCAGCCTACTGGCTAAACAGGGGAACACTGGAGGTAAAAGGCAAGTTCGACTTGCTCGAAGGCAAGCACCGGGAAAAAAGAAAACATAAGGTATTCGTCACATGGACTGGCACACAGCTGAACATGGATCGGGGGAACTATAGCAACAAAGAGCAGACTCTCCCTTCGCCATTTTACCACCGTTTATTTTGTTATTTAATTTATTACTGGATATTGTTCTTATGTACCAGACCTCATCGTGTATTGCCATATTATACGAGTTTTTAGACACTGTGTCGTTGCTCCTTTTTCTTCAATAATTTGCACAGTGCCCCTGATCAATTTGGCAAGGAATGCATATTCTAGAAAAATTGACAAGGAATAGTTTTTTCTTCTCAATTTTATTGGATTTGTACACAAACACCTATCGTGTGTCTACCTCCACATTATTTTGTTATTTTAGATTACGTGTATATATGAAATTTGTAGGTAATACTCTGATTTTTTATGTTGGGAACTAAACAAAGACATGTGTTCATATTTGCAACTAAGGCTGATGTGTACAACTGAACATCGATGCTTGATTATAATCATCTTATGTGAAGCACTGAACTTTTTTTTAGGGGAAGCAACGTAACTAATATCTTCCTATGCATATATCAAGTCACAGACTATTCAAATCTACAACCTGCGGAATATGGCTAACTTGATGTCTCGTGTAACTCTGAATTCAGAAACGGTATAAAGTTGTAGTAAAGCAGCGACAATTAATATGGATCTGAGGGAGTATAATATATCATCTTGAAGAGAGATAAAACATAACAGGCCATCTTGTCTCAGCTTTATAAACCATTTTGCTATGATTGATGCACCATTCTGAACTATGGAGTATGACATTCAGAACCACAACTTTGCTCACAAAGGTATTGTGACTCTGAGTCCTGTTTGGTGGACTAGCTGCCTCTGAGGTAGCGTGGTTGGTGTCTTGCCCTCTTCTTCTTCAATAATATCATACGCACGCTTGTTTGTGTGCATTGTAGAATAAAAAAGTGAGGGTCTATTTATCATCGACAGTAGTTGCTATCTAAAGGGCACAAACAGAGGGCGCTTACGAAGTTAAATTGGTTGTTCAGCTCTGTTTTCCTCAGCGACTGGTCAAGGGAAAATGCTGAAAACTAGTACTATTCAGATACGGCGTATTTAAATAATATTCAGGTGCAAGTTTCAAAATAGAATTCACGGTTAAATCGATGTATCTCGACGTTATCAACTCTAGCGTCGGTCCTACTTCCGAATATGTTTGAAAAGTTAAAGTTCCTTTAAAAATTAAAGTATTTATGTGATTTGTACATAAACAAGTAATATTAACTAAGGATAACTTGGCAAAGCGCAACTGGACAGGATCTACTAGGTGTAGTTTTTGTGATCGGGGTGAAACTATCAAACACCTTTTTCTTGAGTGCCCGTTGGCCAAGGTTTTGTGGCGGACGGTGCACATAGCCTTTAACATTACTCCCCTGAATTCTGTCAGCACGTTATTTGGAACGTGACTTAGGCCTTCTTTGGTTTGTAGGAATTTCATAGAATTTCTATAGGATAGGATTTGTATAGGAAATTTTTCTTTGAAGCCCTTTGGTTTGTAGGAATGAATTCCTATTCATATGTAGGATAGGGATCAATCATTCATATTTTGGAGGAAAAAATATATTAGCAAAGACTCAATGGAAAAATTCCTATCCTATGCATCAAATGACATCTCTTTCTCTATAGGAATTGAGATACATGTCATCTCACTTCCTATGATCTTCTTATTCCTATAGCATTCCTATCCTATGAACCAAAGGAGGCCTTAATGGGATAGAGTCCGAAACAGCTAGACACATTCGCGTAGGAGTATGTGTTTTATTATGGGCAATTTGAAACTGCAGAAATGATTTGATTTTTAACAGAACAACAAATATTCATTTTTTGCAGGTTATCTTCCACGCCACTGCGTTGATCGTATGTGGTCGCTACTCACTCCGACGAAGGTCAGGGAGCGTTTGGTTACTAGGTCTGTCCGGTGGGAGATGGTAGCACGGGATATCTTCAAACGGTTTGGATGGCGGTCATGTAATAGGATAGGCAATTAGTTTTCCTATCTTTCTTATGCCAGCCGGTTGTGGCCTTTTGGCTTTTCTGTTTTTGGCCCTTTGGCTCTTTGTGAGCTTGCCTTTACTTTTGCTTCAGACTTTAAAATCTCGTTGGCCGTATGCATCGTTTTGATGCAGAGACCGGGGAGTCCCCCTTTTCAAAGAAAAAAAGTTTCAAAACAGAAATATCAAAGATAAGCAAGTGGCAGAAAAGGCTGCCTCCTATATACAGTGGCTTGCCGCCCAGCTAATACAACACATAGCCGAGTACAAGTCTAGCCAAATTATTAAGCAAATATAGAAGTGCAAGTCCAGCCACATTACTTAAAACTAACTGTTCAAAACACAATGACAGTGATCGTCCGTCAACTAGCTGAAGCGAACGATGATATCACACACGCATTGTGTACTTTAGTGGGAGAAGAATCTCCAGGATGAGCTTTTGATTTATGCCCATAATATGTTATACAACTACGTGCAGCCGCAGTCTCCCTCTCGAGTTCCGCCTCGCATATTGGACTTTGCCGCCGTGCCACTGTCTTCTCTAACAAGAGGAAATGGACAAAGTTGTCGCCTGCTTCATCGATAAGAGGCACCGCCTCGCTTCGGATCTCCGTCACGTACCTCAATTGCGTGAACTCGGATTGAGATGCCTCCACCAATTGTTAGCGCCACTATAGGGGTGATGAACCCCCTCATCAGCAAGCTCGCGACACTGATGGGCGACGAGTACACTAAGCTCACAGGGGTGAGGAGACAAGCCTCGTTCCTCAAGGATGAGCTAAGCACCATAAAAGCCCTGCTTGAGAAGCTTGAGCTCATGGACGAGCTCGACCCCTTGGCCAAAAACTGGAGAGATCATGTCAGGGAGATGTCCTATGACATGGAGAATTGCATAGATGACTTCATGCGCGACCTTGAAGGCACTGATGCCAAAAAGGGATTTATCAAGAAGACCGCTAAATGTCTCAAGATGTTGCGGAAGCGTCATCAAATTGCTCATGGAATGGAGGAGCTCAAGGTTCTTGCTCTAGAGGCAAATGAACGTCGCATGCGGTACAAGACTATTTTACTTTCAATATAGGAACTCCTAGCCCTCAAGATCATTCATATGAAATCAATACATAATTATTTTTGTTGTTCTGATACAAAGGTACAAGATTGATGATTGTGTCTATTCTACTTCTCGCATCGTTCTGGTCAATCCTCGGATGTCAGCGATCTACAAGGAGGCAGCAGGCCTTGTC